TCTAATCCAATTTGCCACATGCTAATACTATAGTGGGATCTGTGCTTAGGCTCACCCCAGTAATTATGAGCCAATTTTTTTATATTTTTGTGTTTGTGAGAAAAATTAAAAAGAAAATCCACTCACAGTTCATAAAAGTAAGAAAAATCAAAATATTACTCATAGCTGCATGAAATAATGATATCTTAAAAAAAAACAGATTTTTATTACATATTTTTGAAAGAAACAATTTTTAAAAGAATAAAAATAGTTTTTCTAGATAAATGCATCTTTTTTAATGAATGTTATAATGCCAACAAATATTAATTTTAAAAAATCTTGTCATTATTTTTATTTTTCTTCATGAACATTTCTAAACTTTTTTTATAAAATTTTCTTTTTTTTAAATTGTGTGCTTATATGTTAGAAATCATATCCGTTTAGATTTCTTCTGATTTGACATTAGTCAAAACAGAAGTAAAGATGGCTTTAAATTTGAAATGTACTTGGAGTTTTTTTAATTACTGAGTAGTCTCCTTTTTTTCTTTTTTTTTTTTTCTTTTTTAAGCATTTCACCCCAAGCAAGGCGGGAAGCCACTAGGACGCAAGGGGTTACAGAAAATAGCAAGATCGGATAGGAGTGATAGAAGAAAGGATGAGGGTAGTAGATAGATTAAGGCAACTGGAGATGTCGATTGACATTACACTTGAATAGCTGGAATTATAGCTCACAGGGAAACAGGAGAAGGGAAGAGTTCCACAGGCGAGAGGTGCGAGACATGAAGCTATTAGAGTAGAAGAGACAGCTACATTTAGGAGTTTCGACAGTGAAGGGGTGAGGCGGGATGCCAGCCTCGTAGGGCGCTTGAACTCATGAAGTCTGGGGAACCAGCGAATGCAGCTCCTCGGAGCAATTTCCATGAAAGTATTTGTAGAACAGACAGAGGGAGGCGACGGTGCGTCTGTGAAAAGTGACTGTAGATGAGACGCCAGGGCAGGGCCAACCATGTTGCATATCCTCTGGAGCCTATCAAGAACCCCAGGCAAACAGAAGGGCGCCAGACCATATATGGCAGCAATACTCCATGCAAAAGGCGGTGTGGATTTGTATATCTGGAGGATTGACTCAGGGAGAAAAACTTCCTAGCGTGGCTCAGGGAGCCAACTTTCCTCGCCAGTGGACGAGGGCAATTGACTCGATGTATTTATTCCATCTCAGGTCAGCAGTCAACATGAGACCGAAGCTGCAGAGGTTGCTCTCGAAGTTGAGCATCAGACATTCTAATGGAGGGAAGGGAAGGCTCTCTGTGGTGATTAATAGAAACGTTTTGTCTTCGAAGCGTTGATGTTGACCAGCCAATTCATGCCCCAATTCTGTCGATTGGAGGTCCTTTTTTCAGACACACGGCAAAAATTGAGTTTTGTCAGCGAGACTGGATTTGTTTTGAGGCAGGAATAAATTGTGGTGTCATCCCGCGTAGATGCCGACTTGAGAAGTTACGGCGTCAGGAAGGTCATTTATGTAGATAAGGAATAGAGTGGGGCCTAGGATGGAGCCTTGAGGAACACCTGCATTCGTGGGATAGGAACTGGAGGAGAATCCGTTGTGAACGACCTTCAATTCACGGTTTGACAGGAATGATTGTATTCGTTATATAATCGACCCGTAATGCCATATCCCTGGATCTTTGGGAGAAGGCGGCATGCCAAACCCGATCAACTGCTTTGGAATATCTAGTGCCACGGCTCAGGCTTCCCCGTTATTTTGGAGACTTCGGTGGACTGTTTCAGTGATGGCTGTGAGCACATCGGCTGTAGATCTGGCAAAGCGGAAACCATATTGCTTGTCTGAGAGCAGATTATGAGATGTGGTGGTTAACCACACCGGTGTTGATTAGAGCTTTGAAGACTTTGCGAAGAGGAGAAGGAGACTGATAGGACGGTAGTTGGAAGGATCAGAGGGGGTCGCCGGAGTTCTTGAAGACAGGAGCGATCGAAGAGGACTTCCAACAGTCAGGAAAACAAGATTCCTTGAGGCAGTAGTTGTATAGTTTCGAAAGGCGGGCGCCAGTTCAGGCGCGCATTTCTTTAAGACAATGGCTGGTATCCCATCTCCACCACTCGCCTTGTTGGGATCTAAATTGGAGATAACGCCCAGTACTAAAGTTGGGGTTATGTTTAACCCACTCAATATGGCCTCAGTTCTAAGAGGGAAGTCGGGTATGGGTACACGGAAGAGTCGATATATCGAATTGGATGAAAATTTCCGAGCAAAGCATTCAGCCTTGTCGGTAGAGGAGGTCAAGACTTCGAACTGGTTGAATAAAGGAGGTATAGAGGGTTTGCAATTTTTATTTGGAAATTATTATACCCTATATCAGTCAGTTAAGTGCCATACATGATACATGATTGGGTGATCATGTATCTTCCAATACATGATTGACAAGGCAGATTTTTTCTGCAGTAGGTTACCATTTCTTTATGTGGTAGACTGGCTGCCAATCAAGGCTAAAGAATCCAGTCTGTCTTGCTATTCAATACTTTTCCCAAGGGTATTTGCATGTAAGTGAATATGACAAACTCAATTGGAATTTGAACTCAGATCTCCAAGTTCTCACTTCGAGCTGATGTCCATTACACCACAAAAATTGATTTCATCTATAGTGCAACCACTAAATTTTTTGGCATGAATTTTAACCACTCCAGAAAAAAATTAGCTGTGTATAGTGCAACTTGTCATCAAAAACGCATGATTTTTAACCTCTTCCAAAAAAAATTCCGTGTGTATAGTGCTGCCTGCTGTTTTTTGCATAAAATTCTGATCATCAAACCTTGCACTATATTCAAGTATAGATGGTGATATGAATTCTATAAATAGGAAATGACTGGACAAGGAACTTCATTAGTTTTTCTTTTTACTGACTGTTCAGATATTTAGTTCTGTCATACAGAAGTAAACATGTTCTTTACAAATGGTCATGTCAACATGAATATTTAAAAGATCAATAAATCATTATTTCATTATTAAATATAGAATATCTATTTCAATGAGCTGATTAATTTTTTTTTTTTTTTTTTGCATAATTCACATTTAATACAAAACTATGCATAATTAAATGTTCCAACCAGGGTTGCCAAATTTGGCAATTAATTTTAAAGCCCAGTTCTACTAAATTTTGAATTTCATTATTTGTGACCTCTTGGATAACTTTTAAATAGAGGTAGGTAACATGTAATAAGAAGAAAGCATAATCAAAATTTAGTAGCCTTATAATGTTTGGCACATCCTGGGTTAGACGATGTGCAACAGAAAGGGCTCTGATCAGGAGGTTTTGACTAGGATGGAACCACCTCTTAATTGCTGGTGTTCCCAGGTCCAGCCTGACCCAGGGTGGTAGCACCAGTTAGGATCCCAACTATGGGCAAATAGTTACCCCTCAAACTGGGTTCAAAACACTATCAAAATGTAAAAATAGTTTTAATACCAGAAATACTTTGTAAAAAAATTATCAGCAATACATTTTTGAAGAAAAAATATTACCAGCAATAAATATTGTCAGTATTAAATAACACATTGTGGTTGATATGCCGTAAAACAAACCAAACCAAACCCAATTTGGTAACAATGTCCCAAGCCAGAATAAATTTCATTCTTTCTTCAATATGTTAAAATTTTCATTATTCCTTCCAACTTTGTTTTGTTACATCCAGAAATTCCTTCACAGTATAAAATTACACCCCATCATTTGATCAATCCATGCTGTCACGGATCTCATACTCATATTGATAACAAAATTTCAAAATTCAAAATTTAGTAGAACTGGGCTTTTTTAGGTAAACATTAGCCATGTTTATATTTGAATTGGGTGGTAAATATTGGCTGTGTTTATATTTGAATCAGGAGGTAAACATTGGCCATGTTTATACTTTAATCTAGAAGTAAACATTGGCTATGTTATTACTTGAATCTGGAGGTAAACATTGACTGTGTTTATACTTGAATGCAGAGTTAAATATTGAGTATATTTATATTTGAATCTAGAGTTAAACATTGACTATGTTTATACTTGAGTCTGGAATTAAACATTGACAATGTTCATACTTTAATGTAAAGGTAAACATTGGCCATGTTTATACTTGAATCTAGAGGTAAACATTGGCCATGTTTACACTTGAATCTAGAGGTAAACATTGGCCATGTTTACACTTGAATCTAGAGGTAAACATTGGCTGTGGTTAAACTTGCATCTTTTTGGTAAACATTGGCTATGTTTATACTTGAAACTCTAGATAAATATTGGTTTTATTTATAATTGATCTACCAGCATCAACCTGGTAGGTGAACCCCTTTTGGGTGGTATCTTAACCCTCTGCATGGGATGCATTCAACATATTGTAGGTCCTGCTGACAGCACATCTAATTTTTTAGGTATTCATTTCATAAATCCTGCCTATGATAGCATGCATTACATAAACAACGAGTGAGCAATTATTACAATATTCATAGCTGTAGGGCACAACTCTCCTTGACAAATTCCATGCTTTATATAAATCAGCATAGAGAAATGTATCCCAGAGTTCAGTTTTAATTATTTTAGACACTACCACAAACCTTAATGATCTCAAGAATATAACCAGGAATAAAACAATAAAATTTTGGATATTCTAGATCAGAAACATTATCTTTGGAATCAGGTATGATAAGCAAACAATCCTAGAAACAGTTTGCTTGGAAGCATTCTAGATGTGATTAAAAGAATATTATATCTTTGTTATTTTATAGCTATAAAGCTAATGAAATGTTGTATTTATTTCATGGCACCCTGTAGGTAAGAAAGTGAAGTTTGAACTCTTACACTTATTGACTAGAGATACTAGGAAATCGTGTTGCATATTTATTTCTACCCAAATTCTCTTTATTACTTTGGCTAGAATGCATGCTGATTTGAATATGCATATTTATATATGTACTTGGCATATCAGTATTTTTATGGGTGTCCCATGATATATGACTGAAGTATTTAAAATAGATAGATATGAACATGCAGACAGAGATAGATATTAAGACACTGAGATAGATAGATAGATAGATAGATAGATAGATAGATAGATAGATATGAACAGATAAAAATAGATAGATTGATAGATAGATATGAACAGACTAAGATAGGTAGATATGATATATGGCTGAAGTATTTAAAATAGATATGAACATGCAGGCAGAGATAAATATTAAGAGACTGAGATAGACAGATAGACATGAACAGACTGAGGTAGATAGATAGATACATACATAGATAGATAGATATGAACAGACTAAGACAGATATGAATAGATTAAAATAGATAGATATGAACAGACTAAGATAGATATGAATGGACTAAGACAGACCAATAGATATGAATGAACTCCGATAGATAGAAACAGACTAAAATAGATATATAGATGTGAACAGACTAAGACAGACAGACAGATATGAACAGACTCAGATAGGTAGATAGAGAGAGATAGATATGAACAAATATAGATATGAACAGACTAAGATAGATATTAACAGAATAAGACAGATAGATATGAACAGACTAAGATAGGTATAGATAGTTTATTAGATATGAACAGGCAGTGATGGATAGGAACATACAGATAGATAAATACATAGATATATAGACATGAAAAGACTTAGATCAGCAAACTGAGATAGATAAATACAAATGGACTTAGATAGTTGGGCAGAGATATGAATCAATTGTGACGGACATGAGTAGTTAGAAATGAACAAGTTTAGATAGAAAATAGTATGTGTATCTTCTCTATGAGTTAAATAGCAAGGTAGACTGGGCTCTTTAGTCTTGGCTGGCAACCAGTCTAGGAGAAGAATAACACTGAATTCAAAAGCTGAGGAGGGCTTTTCAGGAACCTTTTGGCAGACTATGCTAACCAGTTCTTTGTATTCAGGTCTTCTGAATATGTGTGTTCATCTTAGTCTTTCCATATCTATCTATTTTAGTTTGTTACTACTTTTCCCAATGGTATTTGTACAAAAGTGAATGTAACAAATTTGACTGGAATTCTAACTGGGCTCACCAATTTCTCATTTTGCGCCACTAATCATTACACCACCTGCACATGTCTTTCTCTCTCTCTTTATATATATATATATATATATATATATATATATATATATATATATATATATATATATATAGTTGAATATTTTCAGTTGTCAAATCTACATTGATGAAATATGTCTAAGTTAACAAAATGCAGCAAATTCGATCAGCCTCTTGCAGATTTATGTGCTTCCTGCTGGTAAAATGAGCCTGATAACACATTGCAGAAAAGGCCTAGCCCCAAGCTAAAAAAAAAAGAAAGAGTCTTTCAGTATTATTTGTTAAGACACCAGCTTGCTGGTACCTTATAAAAATGTTAATATATTTGTTAAATATGAATAGATAAGCGGTTTGGTTAGAAGCTTTTTAGGTGGATCGCAGAATATTTGATAACATGTGGAAGTAGAATAATAGGCAGGTATGGCTAAATTCTGGAAGGTTATTAAAAGCAGAAAAATCTTGTTATTAATAATTGGCTTTACTTGTCAGTCTTTCTACTGTTTTACATCTTGTCTATAGAAGGTTGCTAAAGATACCATGGACCGAAGATGTGAGCAATGATGAGGTTTTGGAGAGGATACAAACAAGGAGAAAACTTATAATTAACATCAGGAAGAGTCAGCTGAAGCTTCTGGGACATGTGGTGAAAAAGAAGGGCTTAGAGAATCTGATACTCACGGGGTGGATAGAGAGAAAGAGAGACAAAAGAAAACAAAAATAACTTAAAATCTCAAAATCTTGTGCAGACCTATTAAGCACGAACATACATACAAATCACATTTACAATGCCAAGCATTCACTGGTTAATAAATAACCATCACATTTTGGCAGGCAATTTACAAATCACAGTAATGCAACAATTTTGTAATCGCTCTATTTTTAAGTAGTCAATTTTGTACACTTTTGGGAGAAGTGGATCACAGAAGCTTTCTTAAGTCTCCACAAAGCTCGCTCGCTGATTGGTCCATGCCAGCCAATCAGATCGTTTGTACATGAAGAATAATTTTTCCCGCACAACAATTTGGAGTTTATAGTCGCTTATTTAAGCCAAGATTTTTCTCATCTCAATTAGTGAGAACTCAACTGCCAAATGAATCCATGACAGTTGAAACCATGCACCAACCTTCTCACTCATACACACCACTTACATGCTGAACATACCTTGAACACACTCACAAAAAACACTTCTTAGACAGCAATATCTTTCAAGAAGAATCATTACAAGAAACTCTCATGAACATTTTTCCAGTGAACTTTTAAACAAATAACTATCTCTCACTGAACTCTAAAATAACAGTTAAAGAGAGGAAACTCTTGGTTAATTCAACCTTTCTTTCTTAAATGCATGTTTTATTTCACATCATTGTTTGATATTGTACATCTTGTTAATATACATATTTTATGTGCAATAATGTCTTTTGGTGATCTTTTTTTTGCGTGATTCTTGTTTCCTAATCAAAATTTAAATTAATGTGGTGAAATCTCTTTGAAACAACTTAGTCCTTTCATCCTCATGATACATAGTCATTCCAAGAAAATATGTTAGTAATCTCTTTAAACAATCTGTTTCTTAAATAATAGTATAACTTTTCTTTTTTTTTCACCTTTTTCTTCTGCTTTTAAGAAACATTGCATTTGAAAACCTATTAGCTCTTGTTGGTACCAATCTACTGGAATGACTGATAAAAACATCCCCCTCCACAGATTTATAGACAAATTTTACAGATACAGATGTTAGAATTTCTTCCTAACAAATAAAAATGAACCATGTCTTGATCTCATATTTTTCTTCTTTGTTTTGAAATCAGACTGTATCCCTTTTGTATATGAACACTATTCTTACTTTGTGAAATTTTCCAAGCTTTATTCAACCATTTTTTTAGTACAATTTCAGTTAAACAAGAAATAATAGCAAAATATTAATACTTACAATTGAATAAGAACTTCAGATTGTTAATATAAATAACTCTTCTGGGATAGAATCCAAACAGTACCAAATGTGTCTCATGCCAGTATGGTGACAGAGAAAATAGGCACATTTTTTTTTATCAATTCCCTGTCAAGCAAGGTAATAATGCCACTAAGATGCAAAGGGTTACTGGGAGTGAAAGAGAATGAGAAGACTTTAGGAGAAGGAAACAGAAACCCAATCCTCAACAAGAAACAAGGGATAAACCTCTACTCCTTTTCAAATGACCAGGGAAGATTGTGAGCCACACAATAAGTAAACCTATCTGCTACTATTAAGGAAAAAAAATAATTCATAAACAAAATTTCAGAATTTAGATAGAGAATTTAGAAGTATAGAGTTGAAGTAGACATTAGAAGGAACTGGAAACCCAATCCTAAACAGAAAACAATGGATAAACCTCTACTTCTTTTGAAAAATTTATGATATAACAGCATAGTCTTAGCACACTTAACTAAACAGTAATGTATAAGATTAGATTAAAATTATAATAACACATTACACTCACTTCTTTTTTTTTTACCTAGGATCAGAGTCTGGCCCCTTCTGAACTGGAATTAATTGGCAAAGTTGGGAAAAGTTAGAGCAATCAGAAGAAAGGGAAAAAATTGTGAAGGAGGTAAAAGATCTAAAGAACATGAAAAGCAAATCAGATGAAAGGCATATATATATATATATATATATATATATATATATATATATATATATATGAGGATGAAAGAGAAGAGAAAGAAGCAAAGGAGTAGATAGGAAAGAAAGTAACAGGTATTCTTACTGAGTAGACATCTGGAGACAATGAGGAAAGATGAGAAATTACAATACTGAAAAATTCTTTATGGAGAAACAGAGCAAAACTTATTAGTTGTCCTGTTTTCAGTTGCTTTCACATTTATATTATGAGTTTTATTCAGTCCTTGTTGAAACATCAATGAGTAACCACAATATTATACTAACTAGAACTTGTTGATTCATGCCAGTATAGTTGACTGTTTCGTTTATCATCCGCTATGTACACCAATGTATCTCTTTGTTGATACTTGCTTATCTTTTCAACTAGAGAGCTGCTGCCCTCTTCATGTTTTTTTTTCATCATTGAGATTTGCTCCTCTAAGGATTGTCTGACTCCTGCCTATTGATCTGTCTAGTTGAGTTGGACATGCTCAGAGATAAACTCTTACCAACTTAGCTCTCTGGGTCAGAGGATCATGCAAACCCCTTCACCACATCTAAGTAATTAATCATGTGCAAAAGAAGGTTAACAAGAGGATACAGAAGAAAATATATTTTCTTTTTTCTTTTTTTTTCTGAATATGGAACTAATCCATATTTGTATAAGGTTTAGATAAACATATGGACTGACATTGAAGATTTGAAGAAATAAGGAAGGAAGTCTAAAGATAAAGGCAAAAGGTGAGAGAAGAACAGAGATATGAGATACTGGATAATTTAAGTTGTCAGTACCTGTGAAATTTCAATAGAACCTGATCATCTTCTTCTTCTATGTGCTGTGTCCCTTCAGGACGTTGGTGATTATGGCTTTCCATAATTTCTTGTCCTTTGTAAGCCCTTAATAATTTTATTTTTGTTATCTCTCCTAAACCTTGCTCTACCATCCATTTACTCAAGCTGACTAGGTAGGTTATATGTTGTTTTCCCCTGTCCTTTTTGGTTTCAACCTGTCTTGTGAGTATCAAATTTTCTATGCCCTCTTTCTTCATTATGCGTCCAAGGAATTTCAACTGTCTCTTCCTGATATTAAGTATAAATGTCCTTTTCCTGACCATTTTTTCTAAAACATTATCAATGATTAAAAAAATTTTTATTGGTCAATCTAGGTCCTTCTGATTGAATGTAAAGTTTAATGAAATTTATGTCTTGATTTTAACTTCAGTTTATTCCCTTAACCCATTAACTGCCAAATTTTTTTAATGCACATTTTTGGTCCAGACAGGTGTCTTAGGAGTTTATTTATTCTTTATGTTTTAGTTACCACTGTCATTTTTATAGAAACTGGAACATCAAATATATATGTATATAAAACATCAAAAAATAATATTGATTAGAAATAATAAAAAAATACTTTTCAAAATAGTCATTATTTTTCTACTCATGAAATGTAAAATGATGACAAAAAGTGTCTTCTTATGGCTAATAATAAAAACTTTAAAGGCTAAGTGTTGTAAAATATACTTCTGCAAATGCAATGTATGTAAGCAATTCAATGTAAATACAAGGAATAACATGGAGTGAGTTTAATTTTAACAGATCCCCAAATGGGGCTCGTGGAAGATAATGGGTTAAAGACAGATGATCACTGGAGTCACAAAATATTCAAGTGTGTCAATGTATTTTCATTTTTTAATCATGAGAAATTTCTCAAGACCTGTGATACTTTTTTAAGCATTATTTCTGGTGGGTATCATAACAATAGAAAGACTTCAATTCTGTGTCTAATGAGAAGTTCCACTGGAGGACTGAACAGCTGAAGATTCTCTTCACTCATGCTTAGTGTCGTGTTCACTGCAACTACCTAATGACCACCCTACCAGAGTCATCTACCAGTTCGAACTGCCATCTACAAACTAGTGATTACCTTACAGCAGACCAATGTGACGCTGGAGGCTGTTCTGATGTTATACCAAGACCGAGAGAACTAGAAGGACAAGGTGGCTTCTGTAGGGCTCGATGTCTTCATGGCATGAGATTTAACAGCAGCAACATTATACTATGTTCCATATATGGTATCATTCAGTGATCCAACTGATTTTAAAAGTTTTTAAGTCCTAGTGGTTGGATTTTCTTCTATCTATTTAAAGTATCATAACAGACAAGCATTACGTCTGGGTATTGTTTTAAGAAACAAGTGAACATGCTTAAAATTTAGTTTTGGGCCATACAGTTATTGTTATTAGTTACAATCATCTGGGAATGGCTACTAAAAATCTCTCCTCGTCATATTTATAGACAAATCATACAAATGAATGCTAGGATTTCTTACTAACCAGTAAATAATGGACAATTCTCAATCACATCCCCACATTTTTATTCTTTCATGCCTTGAATTCAGAAGGATATAACCACTTGACTGTATCCCTTTTTGTGTGTGTATACTATTCCTATTTTGTGAACTTTTTGATTTGTTAAAATTGTTTTGCTTTTTACTTATATATGTTTTGTTTCATATTCTTTCACCTTGTTCTTTTTTACTTCCTCCTCTTGTTATTGCTAATTGAGAATTCTGCCAATTTTACTTATTGAGAGTTTTTGCCAATTGTTTATTGCGAACTTTGTTAATTATGCTTAATCATGTCTGCTTATTCTACATATTATGAGGATTATTTTGTCGACAGTTTGGAAGCCCATTTTAAAATAATGCTACAAAACTGCCAAAATATCAATAAATGTATCTGCCAACATCTGAAAGAAATATAAACAATTGTACTGATAAACTATGATATATTATAATAGTATTAATAATATAGTGAATTCAAAATTTCTTTTTGAATTTATTGGATGTGGAGTTATCGTTATTTACATTCAAACTGTTGCATTTATTCTAATAACATTTCAGCTGTTCTCTCCAGCCTTCTTCTTCAAGTATCTGTCAATCTGGGTTTACCTTCAGGGAATTTTGAACTGAACCCTTTGTTTAATCAATAGAGGCAGATTTTTCTCATTCTGCTATCTATATCTAGGGATATCTTGTCCTGTTCTTAGCTAAGAATACTCAGTTATTGCCCACAGTGCTTCCACTGAATCTAAGTCTGTACTGCCCAGCCCTATGAAACAGCAGCCTAGTGGATTAAAGTATTTGTTCATGAATTTGGTGATATAGTAATGGTGAGTTTAATATATTGAAAGAATTAAGTGACAAAACAGAAATTTCTTTTATCAATATTTCTTACTATCATTAGGAGGTAAGTTATATTTAATAGTAATAAGTTATATTTAATAATAATAAATTATATTTACTAATAATATAAGTCATATTTAATAATAATAATACACTTCTACTTAATAATACTATAAGCTGTATTTAATAAGTTATAGTTAATAATATTAATAATAACAATAATAATAAAAGTTATATTTAAGAATATGTAATCTTTAAGAATAATAATATAAGTTATATTAAGAGCAATGTTAACTTATATTTAACAATAATAATAATATAAGCTATATTTAATAATAATAATATAAGTTATATTTAAGGATATGCTCTATTTAATAATAAAAATAATAAGTATATTTAATAATAATAATGTAAGTTATATTTAAGGAAATGCTATATTTAATAATAAAAATAATAAGTATATTTAATAATAATAATGTAAGTTATATTTAAGGATATGCTATATTTAATAATAAAAATAAAAGTTATATTTAATATTAATATTAATAATAATAAACAACTGAAATGACATAAAAGAGCAAAGAAAAAAATCAATAAGCAGAGAAATGTTTGTTTTGTACTTGAAATCATCTTTTTGATGCACCACATTTATAAACTAGGCTCAATTGAACAACAGATCTCACTATCCCTGGTTGAGTCCTCCAGCCATTAACAATTCCCACAAATAAATGAAGGTTTCATTCCTAGTTCATAGCTCAACTCGCTGTTATAATGTACACAGCAAGCAATTTTGCCACATCTGATGCATTTTCTGAGAGAAGAAAATCTCACCTCAGATAAATAGTTTTCCCCCAAAAACCAGGAATTCTGTCTTTTAAGAGGACATTCTTCTTTTGATACGGCTAATCGGTTTGCATCAATGTTTTGCATTACTTAGAAAATCACAGGTTAGCTATTAGACAGTCACATCAAAGGAAAGGCACCTGCAGGTCTTCACCAACTGTGCTTTTTCTGAAGCATATAGACACCAATTAAATAATAATAGGAACAAAATAATGACCTCTGTGTACTGGAATACATTAAAGAATCAATGAAACGGTACATCCTCTTGTTGTCGAAAAGAGGATATTGCTTCATAATAGAAGTGTTTGCTTGCTGCATAATAAAACCCAGCAAGAAATACTTCTGGGGTAGAAAAAACAGGAACTAAAGATAGAATAAATATATCAATAAATAAATAAGGCTTATTATTCCTCTGATCAAGGATGTGCATATAATGTCACAGATATCAGTATTGAAAGTGGAATTGGCATGCTATGTTCAAATTCTGGGCTAGTCTGTTTCATTCCTATTTGTATTGATGTCTTTGAGAAAGGCATGAAAGTGTTTTTCTCTCCCTAGCTATGGATTAAATAGAAGGGTGGATTGGGACCTTTAGCCTTGGTTGGTAACCAGTCTAAGTAATAAAAGGAATACATTAAATTCCGAATTGTAGATAACTCAAGTGGAAAATAATTACCTTCCCCAATAAGGCATAGCAATTTACAGATAATAAAGAAAAGGAATCTATGGAGAGTCGTGATCACCTATGTCCCAAATGAACATTGCAGTAAAAATGTACAAATTTATAATTAAGCACAGTAATCAACATAAGTGATGCTAAAAGATACTACTTTCAGTATTTTTCTCATTATTGTGGAAATCAGATTTTTTTTAACCAAAAATGAGTATTACAGCTTTATTTTTTTACAAAACAACTGAATATCTGATTTTAAGTCATAAGAGCAAGATTTGCATTCTCAAAATGCACAGACAGACATATATATATATATATATATATACATACATACATTCAGAGAATACAACTCCTGTTCTTATATATACACACACACATACACACACACACACACACACACACACACACATATATATATATATATATGTATGCAAAAATATAGTTTTAAAGTGTGCTATATTTATGGGATAAAGTGCTCAATAAAAGAGATAGAGTGTATATAAATATAAAAGTAAAGTCAACACACAGAGGCGACAGACTGTTTCATGCTAGACACAATCATCAGGTCGCTTGAGGATTGCATCTAGCATGAAACAGCCTGTCGCCTCTGAGTGTTGACCTCAATGTTCACTTTTATATATATATATATATATATATATAGGGTGTATCAAAAATACTTTTACAAACTTTGGGGGCAGATTCCTTACACCAAAGCAAGGACATAAGCCTATATGTCTGCAAACGCATCCTTTTTGAGTTAAGTTTGAAGTTTACAGTAGATGGTACTGTGTTGCCTTGTAGGCTAGGTTACATTTGTCATTAGACTGTCTTCAACATTTAGCATGTGTAGTAGTGAGTTAAATGAGAAGTGTTCTGTTTCTCAATAGCAGGATATTCATATCATAAGCAGGAAAATATGATTTTCACATACAGCCATGTGAATGGTAATGGATGTGAGGCTGCACGGCTGTATCAGATTGTGTTTTCAGACCAAAGACAGCTGAGACATCCAACCTTTGCTACTGCTTATTATCACATTGCTAAGACAAAATCCATGGCACCACTAATTATGGATCCACTTGTACACCTGACCATGAAGAACACATTCTACAGGCTGTCAGAGATGATCCAAGTATCAACACATGTCAAGTGGCCCTAGCATGTCATATATCTCTGTACCACATGGAGGCTACTTCAATTTGCAATGTGTACAGGATCTTTCATCCTCTGATCACTCACCATGCAAAAACCTTTTCCAATGGTTTATTACACAAACTGCCGATGTGTTGTTTGTCTCTTCATTCTTGTTTATAGATGAAGCAACATTTGGAGGAGATGGAATAACAAAATTACACAACCAACATTTATGGGCGAATCGGAATCTCCATGGTACAATACCGCTAGACACCAGCATCAGTTTACAATTAATGAGTAGGCTGGAATTGTGGGCAGCTGACTGGTAGGTCCATAAGTTCTCCCAACATTTCTTACAGGAGTTATCTGCAGGGACTTTATTTCAAACACACTTCCAGACCTGCTAGAGGATGTACCCCTGCTAATACAAAGATGCATGTGATTCATGCATGATGGGTCTCTAGCACATTTTAGTCATATTGTTCACAATCCACTGGCTGACCTCTATCATGAAACATGGATAGTTAGGGAAGGACCGGTTCCTTGGCCTGCATATTCCCCCGACCTCAAACCTTTGGATTTTTAAATATGGAGCCACCTAAAACTATTGGTTTATGCAGCAGACATTAATAATGCAGAGATGCTCCATCAACATGACAGAGGGGTCTGCAAAACCATTTAACACCATGTGGGAGTATTTGAAAGGGTCTGCCTGTCAATGATCCAACGGGTGCATGTGTGTAGAAGTAAGCAGAGGACATTTTGAACATTTCTCATGAGTTGTTGTGTTGAGTTACAATGATAGTCTTTTGAACATATGATTATATGGACAGAGCTTCTACTTGAATATGAGTATCCATAAAAAATAACGTTTAAACAAAATAACAACAACAATATATTGGATTTAATCCATTTCCTAAAAATAAAAAAAAAATTGTCTTTGTTTATGTTAAGATACAATACAGAGCAGATATGGATGTTTCAAGAATTGGCAAAGAGACTGTGTTCAAAAGTTACTATTCAGGCTTTGTTTGATCAGAACTCCTATGTGGATGAGCAGTTACGTGTGTCAGATCCAATGATAGTTCCCCATAGGGAATGCAGGTTTGAATTCTGCTGAAGGACGCACATTTTTCTGACAAGATTTCTCAGATAGTCAGGCTGGTGGATGTAATGGATAAAAAATACTGTTTAATTAAAAAACAGAGCTACTATTCTGGCCTTTTTCATCAACAAGAGATTTCTGTTCACAGAATTGCCAATCAGTGGAATTTTTTTCTTTTTATGACTATTCTCTGTAAACTTTAAAGATGGTTGTGCATAAAAATACTAGTAGATCAGTAGTTTTGAAATACACATACCCACCTTGTCTAGCCCCAATACCAATTCATGAAATGAAATTTAGCAAGTTGCCATGAGCATGTCCAAATGCCTTTAAATATTAAATTGCTGTCATCATTAGCTGATTAGAATTTCACATAAAAGAGTATTTGTTCACATGTTCTTAAGTTGCTAGTGAATTTATACACCCTTGTGCAAATTAATTGAAACAAAAAAAATAATTTCATTATTATTTACTTTTTTTCATATTTTTCCAATGAAACATGACCCAGTGCACATGTTAGTACTTTGTATGCCCATTCCACAAAGTCCTTCCTTGCAGATTGACAACAGATTCTCAATTGGATTTAAATTAGGAGAGTTTCCGAGCCAGTCTATAGTACTTTGATTTGCTCACTGATAAGGCTTGCCACAGTGTGTTCATGCAGCATTACAACTTTTGTACGCTTTCTTGAAGTAATGTCCATTGCAGACAATGGCTGTAGGACAACTAATCAACAGTCAAGACAATAGTGTCTGGGTGTGATAAAAATCTGATGCAATCGCGGATGACAATATTTTTCAAGGCCAAACAAATTTCATCATGCACCTGAATATAGATTCATATTACTGCACACTACTGCAAATGACCTAATCTGAGGAAAAATAGAAATTGATTACACCCTGTCACTCTAGTGGGTCTAAAACTGACCATATGGCAAAAGAAAGGAAATTAAACCAATTGTTTCAATTAATTAGTACAATGAGTAGTATAGTGGTTATTAGTACAGAAAATTCTAATTGCTGTTTTGTTCAATTTGACACCAATGCATTTGGGAAAAGCATAAATCCATCTATTCTCGGCCCAGTTACAGCTTAAATAGCAGCATAAACTGAACTCTCTAGCCTTGAGTAGAAACCAGTCTAATAGAAAGAAAACAGCAAATTGTGGAGAAGGCAACTGGAAATACCCTATCATCTTTCCCAAAAAGGCATAGTAAGTCATAGATAGTAAAGAAAAGGGTTCTGTGTAGTCATGATTGTCTATGTCCCAGAGGAATATGTCATTTAAAATCTGTCTCAGATTCCTCTTATATATTTATATATATATAAATAATCTTAGAGATTTGAGTGCTTTTCAAAAATTGAGAATAAACACCCCATCAACATTGTCTGACAGTTAACTAACCAGATTGTAGACATCAGTTCATATCCCCTGCTGAATTAATGTCTCACAAGAGGAACAGACATTAGAATTAAATCATAATATTAAATTGAGGGAACCTTACACATAGAAATCTACTGGAGAGTCCATCACATACATACACACATATCAGAAAATAGTAGAAAGAGATACATTTTTGATATTTTATAAGTACAATGTAATTACAAACTAAAACAATGTGCATGTTTCATCCATCAAGTTTAAAACAGCAAAAAATTCTGTTTCTACTACATCATCAGAAGAATTCAATAGTTCAAAAATGTGTAAACTGTTTTTCACCTATCTTTATGCCTTGGACACTTTTGGTGACATAGATTGAGTATTATGCATAGGAAGGGATTTTTCTTTTATTAATCCAACATATTTTATTACTTAAATGTTATTTTCAATGGATACCCGTATGAGAGTAGATGCTCTGTTTATTTATTAAATTGTATCTATTTATAATCATTTACCAAACTGGATATTCAGGAAATCTTGTTAGATAAATATGCACTTTCCAGCAGGATTCAAACCTGCATTCTCCTAGATCTGACATATTTTGACCTCTCATCTACAAAGAACCTGATGGTCAAATTGATCAATCAAGTCTATTGAATATTTATTGATTTATTCACTATTATAGCACCAGTTATCTATTGAGTGTTTTTGACAGAAATTCTGCTAACCTAAAAATATGTTAAATTCTCATAATTTTACATATTATTTGTCTTATATATATATATATATAAACAC